TTCTTAACCAACACCACTAATTATTTATGGCACCATATAGTTATGAGCTCATTCTTGTAATAACACTAAGATAAGACTTAAGCCCAAATGAGTTACACTTGACTATATGGACTTAATTAACTCAAACTAAAATAAAACAATCCAAAATACTTAAAACAACTTAACTAATCCAGCCCATACACAAGGCTTATTCACCCATTACCAATAAGACTCAAATAAGCCCAAATTATCCCAAATCATTTAAACTCAATTAAAGTTACAAATTTGGGCTGTTCAAAAAGCTCATATTTGAACTTTTCACAATTGGTCAGCCCATCATTCACATGTTTTTGAGTGAAAACTTGGAGCAACTCTTTAAGCTTTTTTGCCTTTGATCTTGTTACTGGTCCATTGAAACTTTTCATGTTTGAAACTCTACTTGTGTTCACGTCATTTGAAATTTGCTCCAAGTCACCTTTTGATGCTCTTTGAGTATCTTGAGTGTTTTTAGCCTTGTTTGCATCAGACCACTTCTTTCACCATGCTATTGGACTCATCAGAGTGCGAGAACAATCATACACTCAGATTTGTGGTTCTACGGGATTCTCATAGACTTTCAAGGGTAGGTCTGCCTGTGGTTCCTCACTTTCTTCCTCATCTGGTTGAGGGCATAGAAAGAGTGAATTCTATATGCTCAGTAAGAAAAATAGTATTAAATTAACATCATAAGATTTTAAAAGTTAATTATTTTATCGTACCATTTAACTTCTTCATTTATCTATCTCACATTATGAAAATCATTTATTTATTAAGAAAACAATACGTTAACACATAAAATCAAACATACATCATGCCAGTTAGTAGAAAAAATCAAATAAATCATGAAATACTCAGATTTTCATATCATGCTTCGCGAAGTCGTTACAACTTTCATCTCTGAGGGCAGCTATAGGTTTTCAACTAGCCAAGTGGAATGACTAAATCAAATACAGATACGGCAATTTGCTCGAGCCAATTTCTGGCTGGTCAAACGATCGTACAATCTATGACCACTGCCGTACCAGCCATAGTGGCCCTAATAAATATCTATAGTCACAACATTACTTAGCCACGAGTGACCCCTACAGATAGTGCAACACCACTCTCGTCATAGGGTACTCCGTCATCCACTATGAGCGGTTCTCTTACGTCTTTCCAAACTAGATAGGGGTGGAGAAAATAGATACTCTGAAGGGCAAGGGGAACAGATACCCCTCAGAGATAAAAAGTCTAACGAAACACTTGATACAATATGCATGCCAATACAGATACACTTCGGACCATACAGGCTTAATTCCATTTTTCTCTTTTTCTTTTCTTCTATATTTTTATTATTATCGATTACATATTATATTTATTACATGCAAATTCATCAAGTGTCTGCAATTCACATTGCATGCTTGAAAACAAGAACAATTCGACTCATCTGAATACAGAAGCATACAAAATAGGAAAATTAATAATCATATCAAATTAATTTATCTAAAAATACTCCTTAAGACGTTGAAAGAAATACTAGATTCCTTATCAAAACGTTGATGTCTTCTCCTTCACTATTCTCCTTTCTTATGTTCTTCTCTCACTAGACTACTCTCATTCTCTCTCTTTCTCTCAAAACCTTGAAAAATAGAAGAATGAAAGTGTGGAGATGAAGGGAAGAGGGAGGGCAATTTATAGAATTTCAAAACTGTTAGATTCGTGCCGAGTGGCAAAATCTAGTAAAGAGAGAGGAGAAAAAGATGTCCGACACAAAAAACGAAGGAAGAAGGCCTCCTCCACCGGCAGTGGTGGCGTGTCACCCAAGGCAGCAACGACACACTACCCAAGGTGGCAGTGCTCCGACCGGTGTACTGTAAGCTAGCCTGTAGGCACACAGGCCTCTTGTCGTGCGTGTAGGTCTACTGCCCGCAGGCCCCAGACGCACAGGGCCTATCTGCCCAGGCCTGCTACGCGGATGGCATGCACACAATGTGTGGTGCCTGTCCACGCGCGAGGTGATGTCATGTGCGTGCGGAGGGGATGTGCACATTATGCGCACGTCCTGCAGCCACTGTGCACTCATGTGCGCACGTACAGTGCCCAACACCCACGTGGGCAACCAGCCTTCTCGCAGGATTTTTCCTGTGGGAATTTTTTCCATTTTAGCGTTTTTCTAATTTTTTTTTAAATTTTATTCTCAATTTAATTTAGTTAAATTAAAATTATTTAAAATAAAATTTAAATAAATATTAAATAAATAAAAATTAACTAAAATTACGAATCACAATAAATGTTAAATAGTGTAAATTAATTAAGTTTAAAGTGGCTAAAGTTTTCGAATCATGTTAGTACAGTGATGGACGAGGTGTTACAGTCCGGTCCAGAGCAATGTTTGTTCCCAATCTCATTTCAACATGTTGGGAATTTGCAAGGCTTACCCATTGAGGGTTTCGTAAGAAGCCATTCCGATACTAGAGTGATAACTATTGTTGTAAGCAAATTCCACCGGTGGTAAATGTTTGTCCCAGCTACCACCAAAATATATTACTATGAACTTCAAAAAAATTTTGAACAAAATAAAAACTTAATTTAAAACAAGAAAAAAAAAGAAACCAAGAAGATAAACTAATGGACACACGAATGAGGGTGGCATTTGAGAATAGTTTCCAATTTAAGAATGAGAAACTTCAAATGCAAAATATAATCAGTTGTGTGAAGCAAAAGAGGAGCCGCATGCAAACCTTCCCCACCAGGCATCAGCCTCTGCAGCGCATGGATCTTCGTCTCCACAAACTTACCTCGCCTGTATCTTTTCTTGCTGGAACATTTCACACGTCCACCTCCCAACGTTCTCTTCTTCTCCTGATAATTAGACATCTTGGTAATGATAATATTCAACACATATACATATACATACACGGTTTCACACATATATATATATATATGAATATATACACTCAAAGGCAGAGAAGAAGAGGGTAATATTAGTATTTAATGTGCGTGTGTGTATATTTATATATATGCGTGTGTATGTGGGTGGGTTACATGGGAAGTGTTGGATAGAAATTTGTAAAAAGAAATTAAGTTGGCCATGTTGGAGCATGTAGATTAAGGGCCATAAGATTTATACGTGTGTGGTATATGAAGGATTCTATACATGAAATATTTGCCCACTGGATTCTTGGGATCTTGACAAAAAATCTGTCCTGACAGTCTTGGATTTGGCCACCACGTCATAGTCCAGACTGGTTGCAGCTAACATTTACACCCTACCCTCGTCTCCACCTATCCAAACACCAGGAGGTAGTTTGTAATGAGTTGAATCTACTTTTTTACTCTTATACTCTTAACGTGGCTTAATTTTATTTATATTCTAAAAATATTTTAAGTATATTTTAGAGAATATTTTGTATTTATTTTAAAAAATATTTTATGCATTTTTTAAAAAATACTTTGAAAATTTTTTTTTGTTATTTTTTAATATAAAAATTTATAATTTTATTAATGATATATTTTCAAATTATCATAATAAAAAAATTTATTATCAATTTTATCTGTGCATGTAAATATATTTATTCAATCATATTAAATCTTGTATATTTTCTTATTTACACTCTATTTTCTTATGATTGTATACATAATGGGAATTGATTTTCCCAACATATACTCACATCAATTCCAACTTTTAATTGTAATTTTATTTTAAACTCAAAGTTTGATTAATTTTATGTACGTAAACACTAATAGTAATATAATTTTTTAATTAACATGTAAGAAAAATAAAAAAAAAGACCATACAACAAAAAAATAATTTACCTTTTCTTCAATTATAATACTATCTTTTTTTCATTTCATTTTTTATAAAATTTTTAATTATAAATATATAATACTCTCTTATAAAAAATATTACGTTATTTAAATTAGATATTCTCAAATATTTTATTTCCTTCAGCTTATTTAAACTATAATAATATAATATTTATATACTAATTAAAATTTACTTGTTAATTTCAGTCGAAAATTAGGATACATTGAGAATAGAGATATTGTGATAGAATATTTTGCAAATAAAAATATCTATTTTGGTTTAGGCAACAAGATAATAACCTTAACTTCCATTGACAAAATCTGTTAGTGAATTAAAGATTAAAAAAATCTGTTTTCATTTGGTTATAAATCTTTCTTAACTAAAGATAACACAAGAAAAAATAAATTCTTAACGGTTACATTTGATTTTTCTATCACACAAATAAATAACAATTATAGAAGTATTCAACTCCCAACTTATACAGGGATTTATCTCCCCAAAGAAATAAATTCTTAAATGCTCCTCTTTGACTGACATTTTATTCAGCATTGCATACAGAAGATTTTTAAATTAAAAAAAAAAAAACTATAATGTTTAACACAATGCACATTTTCCTCTCAAGGCCTTCAAAACAATAACACTGAATCAGTACACCAACAATGGTGTCTACTGAGATTTCCAGGGATTATCCCCGTAATAGAACGCAGTGCCAACCATAAGTGCCACTGTCGCACCTTGGACGGCTACCCTCACTCTCATTAGCTTCTGACCCAACTGAGAGTTGCCGCGTCTGAAACTTATCAGTCCAGCCGTTAGGACTCCAGCTGTCATAAGCGCACCTATAATGCATTTAAAACATCAAGGAAGAGAAACTGAATCCACAATACTTTTTGGTAAGATCAAAGTAGAATTCTCGGGTTTTGGATTTCACACAGCTTATCAGCTAATAAGACATTCACAACAGGTGACTAAAGAGTAATATAACCTTATTTCAAAGAGAGTAATATAACCTATCAATCCACCATGATAAATAAGTGCCTACAAAACTAATTGCATGAAAGAGTAATCAATTATCTGCAGACTGAACCGCTAGTGAATATTCGAAGAATGAGGCAAATGTTACAAGATGCCAACATCCTTCAATTCTCAACTCCTGGTCTTTACCAGGTTGGATTATAATTACCAGAATCCCTTTGAACACCTTGGAATCACTTCACAGCAAAATTTGTGAGTCACACAGTAACTCTGCTTAAATAAGGGATCTTTTGGCTTAAAAGATTTCAGAGAACTCATGTTATCTACCTTCTTAATTACGAGACCTGTTTACTTAATATACCCTATATAGGAATAGTCTCTAATCCTATGCATGTGTTTATTAGTTATAGCTAGTAAACCAACAAATCTATGCCCCAAAAATTTAAGTTGATAGATAAAAGCTCAATATATTATTTATTCTCTTAACATGCTCCCTCATGTCCAATCTAGGCACCTAACCAATTATTTATATATCAGGATTGTGTCTCAAAAATTTAAGTTGATAAAAACACCCAAATATATTACCTATACTCTGTATGCCTCCCTTACACGCAAGCACGCTAAGTAAATGCATAAATCGAGCACAGTTCTCCATATCTTGTGGTGGAATTTAATTAACAGAAGTAAAGCAACAGTTGTTATTCAAATTCTCTAGACCATTGGCTGATGCATACGACGTAATTGATTCTAATCACTTATTCCAGAAGCTTAAACCTATATAGAAGTGGTCTACCTTATTATTTATATCCTAAGAAGTATCATAACACATGCCCGCAACCATATATAAACACAATAAAATATCAAGTTTCGGTTAAATAAAGATTATATACACTAATAATCAAATCAATTTAATAACTTCAACAAGAAATGAACCTTGTGAGGAAAGCGAAGGATGCAAAACTCCTTAGAATTTTATGACAACCTTACTACCACATATCTTACAGAAAGCATGCAATGCAACAAGAGTACGATAGGATCATAAGAACCTTTAACTGAAGTAGAGGCTCCAACAAGGATGTTGATGGTATTTTATGCCATACCTTCCTTCCCATTTTTTATCGAAAAAGTCAACAAAAGCACAGGGAGAAGAAAGATAATGGGAGAAGGAACCTTTCACAATTAGTACTAGAGTCATTTGAATTCATATCTTCTCCAAACTAGGGTTTAAGATATGCCTCTTGAGAAATACAAAAATAATATCCTACAGTTCTGTTTTTCCTTTAGGTTTAAGTGGAGGTGGACTTAGTTGGCACGTTATTTTGGTCGTAAGTTTGATTGAACCCCTTGTTATGTCCACTATTTGGATAAATTAAGTGACAATTTAGGAACACATTCTTCTTCTATTGGTTCTTGTTCTTTTTCTATGTGAAGAGGCCTAGGAATCAAATCATTTTTATAGCTACAAAAAGAACAGCAATATTCATGTTAAATCCTAAAGAACAGAGGAAAAACATATATCATGAGTTCTTAATGAAAAGAATCAATACATTTTAAGTTCCAAAAATATAGCTTTCTTTAACGGACTCTTGTTTTTCACTTGAAAACTTATCTCCAGCACTTGACTCGTAAATAATCTCAATTTTGAAAGAGAGTTTGTTAGAACATACTCTTCATTCTCTCTCTCCCTACTTTTTCTCTCTCACAATCTTCAGAATCTTATTCAACCAGCTTATCCCAAATCATCTTAAAGAGCAATCCAGGTAAATTTCAGTATACAGATTGGAAGGGGTTGAGAGAGAGAAACTGGAGTGATAATCCAATTTAAACATCACCAACCAGCCAACCACCTTTGTGTTCCTTATCACCATACAGAACTCAAAAACCATTGCAGGAATGAAGAAAAAGAGACACAGTCCTGAACCACTGGACTTCAAATGCATTTTCCTTATCATCTCATGCAATTGGCAATGCATCTGCAATCCACTTCCAATTTTATAATATGTCAAAACAATGTGCAAAAGCAGCAACTTATGCATCTCTCTAATTTCCATAATCTTCTAACTATGAAGGTTTTGCATATGCTTCATCCTTCTCCACGCTCATATTTTATTTTTTGAAGTAGTTTAAACTAAAAGATAAATTTAACATTCTCAGCTAAAACCATAGTATTCGGTCATTCTTCAAACGGTAGTGGTTCACTAGCTGGAATTCTTGAACAAGGGGAACAGAACACTTTAGCGCGGGACTATTTTTGCTGCATTGTGAATTTTGCTGTTGGGAGATGAATGCAAGGCTCTTTAAGGACCATTTCTTACCTCTTCTGTGACTGTGGGGAAGGATTTTTTTTAGCATCTCTTCGGGTCAAGCGCCTAAGATCCATGGACTCTATGCTGATGTTTCCTTAGCTATCTTGTAAAGAGATTGGAGCAGTTCTCTATTGGTTTTTTGTTCCTTCTTTCTTTTTTTCTCTTTGCTAGGAGCCTCTCTTATCCCCTGTTGATGTATTTTCTCCACTTCTTTCTAATAATATTTCTTCTTTTATCCCAAAAAAAAGAAAGTAATTATAGAATCAACGAGAATAAACCACCTATCTTTTTCTAGTCAGTACCCCACTTCTCTCTTGTAAGTTCCATTATTTAACGAACTCTATTACATCAACTGAGGCTTGATAGAATAATTTGTGGTTCCATTCATTACTAAATTTTCAATTTCTGTATGGTTGCCTCCAACACTAACATGTTGAAAATTAATGTAAAAATTATAATTTATTTTATTTATTAGTTTGAATTCAAATAAAATTTATTTTTAATTAGATTTAGAACATATTTATTTTTTAAAATATCATATTATTAGTGAGAATTTATCTTTTAGAAGATTCGATTCATATTTATCTTTTAAATTATGGTAAATTACTTTTAAGAAAGTTGAATTCGATATAAACCTATCTAAAGACACCTTAAGTTGTTAATTTTGGAAAGAGAAAAATCAATGGAAATTTAGGTTTTCTCTACCTAAATCCCAACAAATGCTACCAAATCCTTTATAGGTTATGAATATGTGAAAAAATAATATAGAGAGAAGAGTAATGAAGAAAAAAAAAAAAAAACCATAGAGGGAGACTTCATAGTCAAAATGTCAAACAAGTCTTCATCAACATCAAAAAAGAAAACTTTCCACTATGTGCAGTATACAAGAAAAACAATCATGATGAAAAAAATTGTTGACACAAAGATAAATCATAATATTTTTATTATTAAAGATTTGAGCGTATTTAAAAAGAAAATTGCAAGTTGAGAAATGAGCAAACAAATTTTTCTCAAGAAGAAGAATCTTTCTTGAAAATTGGAGAGAAGTGTTCAAAAGAATTTTGGTGAGAAGTGCATCAATAACCAGAGGTTGGTAAGAAATATATCAACAACTGAAGAGAAATGTTTCACAATATGAAGATTAAACAAGACATATTGGAGATATGTGCTCCAACAAGATAAACTTGATGATTATAATTTATATATTAAAGGAAAGTGTTGAACATTAATATAGAAATTATAGTTTATTTTATTTATAAATTTGAATTCAAATAAAATTTATTTTTAATTAAATTTAAAATATATTTATTTTCTAAATATCATATTATTAGTGAAAATTTATCTTTTACAATATTTTATTCATGTTTATTTTTTAGATTATGATATATTACTTTTAGTAAATTTGAATTTGATATAAGTCTATTTAAAAATATTTTAATTTGTTAATTTTGGAGATAATGAAGTTAATAGAAATTTAGGTTTTCTTAACTAGAAAAAATCCTAACATAACAAACTATCATAATTTTAATCCCAAGAATCAATACCTGGTCCATATATTTTAACAGTCTCCTCTTCCAAGACTTAAGAATAGAATGATTCAGTGTTAAGTACAACTAAACCTTTTCATCCAGAAGAAAAAGTAGTAAAAAAGACAAAGGCACCAAAGGGATGGCACCCATGTCCAGGAGAGAGAAAAAAAGAA